ACTGAATAGCTCGGGTAAACCTGGGCACGGGCCGGGTTGGCCCGCGTGCCGCCCGGCACGGCCCGCCGTTCGGCGCAGCCCGGCACGGCCCGAATTCAAGCACGGCACGACACGAAGTTCAACTCCCGTGCCACGGGCCGTGCCACGGACAGGGTTGAGAATTCCCAGGCACGGCCCGGCACGAGCACGGCCATGGCCCGTCGTGCCGGCCCGTAGGCACGGCCCGGAACGGCCCGCGGGCCAACGGTAATGTTACCGTTTATTCGCTCCTTAATAAGCCAAAAAAACGGCTAAAAAACGACTAGTTTTTTGCCAATTTGCTCCCCAAAATTTCTATAAATACTCACCTCCATTTCATTCCCAAATCACAAAATCACAATCTCTTCTTCTTATCTCTTATATTCTCTAAATCTCTAATAATCCTTATTTTCTTAAATTCTCTAATTATTCTCTTAAATTCTCTAATTATTTTCCTAATATCGGAAAAAAATTAAAAAGTTCGTAATCGTAATTAGTGGAGCGTTGAAGCACGGTTGTAAGATATAAACTAATCTTAAATTTATTATTGTTTTATTGTTATTATTAGAATAATCTTGTTTAATTATTATTGTTGTTAATTGTTATTGTTGTTGTTATAATTGTTGTCATTAATTATTATTATTGTTACAATTGTTGTTGTTATTATTTATTTTTGTTGTTATTGTTATTGTTATAGTTGTTGTTATTAATTATTATTATTGATATTTTTATTGTTAAAATTGTTGTTATTAATTATTATTATTATAGTTAACCACTTTTTATTAAAAAATTAATTGTTAATTATGGCATCGAACAACCCATCATCTAGGTCTAGGGGGAAAGGCCGACTTATCCGTAGTAGTAGTTCTAGGGAACCACCAAATACAACGAGCCCCCAAATTACGAGTCAAACCAATGACCCCATTTACTTCCCCCCGGGCTATGAGTCATATAATACGTCGGGATTTCCAGCACCACCAGTAAACCAATTTCCACTACCACCATACCAATTTCCACCTAATTATATCGGTGATCAACAAAACTATTGTTCTAGCCAAGGTAGCCATGAAAGTACCCGAATTCCCTCCGGTTCTACCCCTTCTACTGCCACTCCCACTAAACCCACTACTAACCATCACACACATCATGAATGGTTAATCGAAACTGAGATGCTACTTTTGAAAAACCGAAGGAGTGAGGTATGGCGTTATTTTGCCCTAAGTAAAGATGGTGAACAATGGGCAAAATGTAAAACATGTAATAGTGTATTCACGACAGTTACCAAAAACGGGACGGGACACTTATCTAGACACATGAAAGCTTGTGCAAAACCAGCTAGTGATCCAACCCAGCCCAAAATTTCCCAATTCCATCCATACGGCTTTACATACAACTATGAGAGGGATAGGGATGAACTAGGAAAAATGATAGTACACGCCGAACAACCTTTTCTTTTCTCGGAAAGTGACGCATTCAACACCTACATTAACAAAGCACTACAACCCCAACATAAAAGAATCTCTAGGAAAACCGTTCGTTCCGCCGCAATGAAAAATTTCCTAGAGTACAAAGTCCGGTTACAAGCCGAATTGAGTAACCTTAACTGTAGAGTATCTTTAACAGCCGATTCTTGGGATAGTGGTTATAAATATCACTATTTATGTGTGACTTGTCATTGGGTAGATGATCAATGGATGTTACAAAAAAGAATAATACATTTCAAAATGCTGGAATACCCACACACCGGCATTAACATTGCTCACCATTTAATGCAAGCAATAGACGAATACAACCTTCGAGATAAAATGATGTCTATGACTTTTGATAATGCAACCTCTATGACATACACAGCTAATCTTATCAAACAAAACTTAACCGATGTACTATTAGATGTGTTTGCCATGTACTTAACTTATGTGTACAGGATGGAGTTCGGGCAATTGGCCCATACTACAGCAAAATCAGAGATGCTATTATGTCTATTAATAGCTCTAACATGAGATGCCAAGAATGGAAGAGTTTTCTAAAACAACAAAAGATAAGGGTAATAAAAATTAGAACCGATTGCCCAACTAGGTGGAATTCCACCTATGACATGTTAACAAAGGCAATTGAGTACAAGGGCCCGTTAACATTATTTTACAACCAAAAATTTCCACAAAATGCTTTGTATGATGATGATTGGAATAACTGTGAAAGATATATGCAATTTTTACAGTTATTATATAACATTACGTATTGTTTTTCTACTGTTTACAATCCTTGTGCTCAAAACTTTCTTTCTAATGCATGCTTACTTGCCCAACTTTTCGCTGATCATCGCCATCAAAGTGATTATGATCAGTATCTTCCAGCAATGGAAAAAAAGTGGCGTAAATATTATAGTGAGATTCCTTTGATTTATATTTTTGCTTCCATATTAGATCCTAGGCAAAAGTATGAAAACACATTTATGTTAGTTGACATTTACTTTCAATGCATGTTTCTTGACGATGATGTAGAAAACTATAAGACTAATGTGAAGGATCAGTTTTTTGCTTTATATAGAGTCTATGAAGCCAAATATGGCAACGTTCCTCGCTCAGGGCCTTCCCAACCATCCAAAAACGTAAGTAAGAAGGCCAAACATTTATTTTCACAAGCTACTAACTTGATTTCAAGGTTTTCAGGTGATTCATCAATCAGGAGAACGCAAAGCGACGTCTCGGAGTTGCAGATGTACCTGAGTTACGACTTCACCAAAGGCATGGACGACGATGAGATAAACAGCCTCGACCTCCTTGCATGGTGGAAACAACAAAGCTCGAAGCATCCAACTTTGGCGGCAATGGCAGGAGACATTCTTGCTATCCAAGTTTCCTCCGTCGCCTCCGAACGAGCTTTCAGCGCATCCGAAAGGGTTTTAGACGATAGAAGAACAAGTCTAAAACCCGAAACACTAGAAATGTGCGTGTGTTTCAAAGATTGGTTGGATGCGGAAAATCGCTCACAAGACCGTTCTTACGACCACAACGACAACGAAGAAGGAACCTCTGCTTCCGGTTCGGGTTCGGCTAGTTCCCAATCTATGCAACTAGCCGATGACCTTGAAGGCGAAGGCGAAGACGAAGACGAGCAAGAAGAAGGAGAAGAAGAATAGACAATTATTGTATATTGTACGATTTTAAAAATATCAATTTTATCATTTTCCAATTTTTGTTTAATACCATCATTGTATGATTTTTATCATTGTTATCATTGTACAATTTTCTCAACTCAAGTAATAATAATATAAAGTACGCATTATTCACATCCAAAGTCCAATTTGCCTTTTTTCCCCGTTTTGTTACAATTTGTAAATTCATATTAAAAAAAAATAAAATTATACCAATTACTAATAAATCATAAACATTAAATTTTAAAGTAATAGTATAAAGTAAATATATAAATATAAATATTGAATATACAAATTATAAAACATAAATATTCAACTTATAATTATAAAATTCATAACTTAATAACTTATAACTTATAAGTTATAAACTTATAAGTTATAACCTTATAAAACTTATAATTATAATTTTATAACTTATATACATTATAAACTTATTAATTTATAATGTTGTCATATATATATATATATATATATATATATATATATAAAATAAATAAAATTATTTGAAAACTGCACGAGCCCGCAGGCCGGCACGTGGCCGGCACGGCACGAGCCCGCCAGGCACGAGGGCCGTGCCGTGCCGTGGGCTGGCCTGTGAAAATGGCCGGCACGGCACGGCACGAAATCCTGGGCCCGCCGGCACGACCGGCACGGCACGAACCAGCCCGTGGCCCGCCAGGCACGGCCCGCGGCGGCACGGCCCGGCACGGTGCCCAGGTCTGAGCTCGGGTAACCCCTGCCACATGATGTGGCCTACTGTACCAAAAATTGTTGTTAATGTTTATTTTAATTATATTTCTACTTTTAGTTACCGTTTAGTTTTTTTTCATATTTAGATAGTGTATCAAAAAGTCTCAGTGTTGTTTCCGGAGAAGTATTTATTACATACTCCTATAGTAATTACCATAAATGAAACATCGTACAAGACTATCAAATTGTGATACAAAAGTAGTTATAGGCATTTATATCACTTAATTTAATTAATTACAGTATGATACTAGTGTTTGCTCATGATTATGTACGGACATTTTTTGAGGAAATTATGTACGGACATTGATAATGTAGAAGCTAAAAAATCCTCCGTAGTTAAATTAAATAAAAATAAAAAAGAACATATTTATTAAAAAAATATTCATAAAAACCAATAATGGAAAATGCTATATATAGCCCTAAGGGCTACATATAAGCATTTAATTTACTCTTGAAAATTGTTTAAATTTAGAAAATCATGACAAAAACACACTAATTACACCGATTTGCGCGTGTTTTTGTCATAATATATTACGGAGTAAAAATTAAACATAAAATTTAATGAATATCAACTACACTAATCGACACACAATTTTAACCTGCATTCTCAATTTTATAAAATGTTTTAAATGCTATCTAACGTCGTCCAAGGAGTTAGCAAGATCCATTTTAATTTATAATACCGGTATTTGACCCAAGTTAGTTGCAATTGCTACATTTAGTAATATATACTCAAGACAAAATTGTTGGTTCGAACTTTTATAGTTTTAATTACTCATTAAATTATAAACAATGGAGTACTAACTGTTCCATATCAATTTGTTGACTTAGAGCAACTACAGTACAATTTTCAAAAGTAAAGCTTAACTATTGGAGCTAAAAAATACAATAAGCTTAGCCAAGCAAATTAGTTTGGAGCAAATTAGCTTGGACGTGCTAGGGAGAAAAAAGTTTCCAAATTTTTCATAGATTAATATATTAAAGTAATTAAATTTATATGATTAATTGAAAAGGTCAAGCTTATTTAATTAGGAAGCTAGTAGCTAACCATTGGGGCACAAAATAGCTATAACGAAAGTTAGCTTAAAATCATATATGGCATAACTAGCTAATTTAACAATTAGCTTACAATTGGAATTGCTCTTACAAATTCACCAAAATAAAGTTCCTACTTCCTAATAATGGTATAGGAGAAGAGTAGTAACATTCTTGAAAAAATTAGAAAAATTCTACTCTTTCCTTAAAAAAGTTTAGTAAATCTCACAAATGTATTAAAAAAAGTAAAAGAGGAAAAAAAAAAAAAAAAATACACACACGCACACACACACATTTTTTAATATATTTGAAATTTCTGAAGAAGATGCTACAAACATTTTTGCAACAAGAATGACTAATTTCACTGCAAGGATTCAACATATACATACACCTGTGATTTGTAAAATCCGCTTCTACTCTCCCCTATGTGTTAAAATAGCTTTTCCGCCTAAGAATTGTACAAACTTTTCGAGGAGGTTTGGTCCTCCTTTGAACACAAAAATGGCCGTCGAATAGGGACCATATGTCAGTCGAGGTTGGCAAATCAAGCGCTGTTCTTGGCTTTCCTTAATACTTCTTTTAGGACATGTGCTATTCGATCTGCCATATGGTGCTCAAGAAACCTCTCTTTCACCCTTACATAGCCTTTCCATCCCATGGTCAGCCTCCTCTCAACATGTGTTGCTAATTTCACAATGTTCCTCGCCAGAGGGGTGACACCTTCTTTCCCGGCAGGATGCAACAAACCCGTTGTCTCATTCACAACTATTTCCATGGTGCCTCCAGCAGCTGTTCCCTGGTGAACATTTGATTTGATGTCAACCAAACAGATTTAAATCCAAGATGCTAGCAATATACATAGTATTAAGTTGCTACTCAGTAATAAAAAAGGTTTAAGCATTTGAAACATTTTACACAAATTGATTTAATCTGGAAGGCAACTTTAAGATGCTATAATAGTAAGTATTATCATTGCACATAAATTTGCAACAAGAGAAGTCCAAGTCAGATATCAACAGAGCAGTTATGGAGTGCTTGATATTCTACCATTACGCAATTACTGATAGCTTTGAGCCATAGATGCAAAGTGGGAGTCCACAAAAATCTTGTACTCTTAAAGACAGAGGACCCTTACAGAGTAGCTATTTGCTACAACTCTACAAGATCATGAAGGTAGCAAAGAGCCATTAACAGGAAATGGCAAATTCTTGAACTATAGCATTTCAGGACACTCCGTTAGCAATATGACTGACAAAGAAATGCAAAATGTAGCTGCGTCTTAGTTTGCTAGGCAATGATGATGTCATGTTGACAGACACATTTTGACAGTTACACGATTACACCAATACATCATGTTAACTAAATCCATCACCACACCATCCTGTACCCCTTGACCTTAAATTGAAGATCATCTTCATTTATAACAAGGCATGATAATTAGAAGTTTACAGGAAGTATCATATTCTGTATCATATAATAGTAGTGGTACCGTTTAATACTTTCATTCTGCCCAAAATTTTACATTACTTTAAGAAAAAAAATAGACAGGTGAAGAGAACATGCTTACCAGAACAGGAAGCTGGAAGGCCATAGCCTCAATGGTTATCCTCCCAAAACATTCTCCACGAGCCTATACACAATCATAAAACTTATATGTTAAGCTCAACCCAAGTTTCAAGTGTACGTTAAACAAGTTACAGTGAGACGATCACAGACAATTCAATGAACTTGAATGGCTAATGGAAAGTGAGTAAAAAAAGCAATAGTACCCAGCCATAATTCCACCGAGCAAAAGGCATGGATAAGACTAGTGTTACAACTGCTATGCAATGGCAATGATCCAATACCACAAACAGAAAGTCTAATAAAAAAGACACATGAAGATCGAAGTATTTATGACTCAAAACAAACAAAACTTCTTTAAAAAAGGCCCTTGACTTCAGATACACTAAAAAAAACTCTTTCACATTGATTGCAGAACAAAATTAAGCAAAACCCCCCTTCTCCAATACAAGATGGAAGATAGATATGTCAGCTGCAAGTACCTGTGAGTTTTGGACAAGAACATCAATTGCGGCAAGATACGGAGCTACAGTCAGGGTCTTATTTATGAAGTGAACACGATTCTGAATCTTTTTCTCTGCAACAAAGCTACGGAGCTCTGTTTCAAATTTAGTTTGCGCACTTATATCACTTCCTACTACTACTGCGTGCAGAGGAGGCACCTGCAACTTCTTTTCTGTAATAATCTGCAGGCTTTCCTGGAAAGCACGCAGAAATAGATCCTGACCTTTTCCACGAGATACACCTGCAGGCACAGAATGGTCAATGAATTGTAAACCAATTTACCTTAAACAAAGTCTCGTTGAGCAAAAAGAAGCATACACTCATTTCCTAAATCAAGACAACACCTAAGCACTCCATAAGAGCTCCTTGCCACATTTTTTTACATTCACAACAGTTATTATTATAAAGCTAGTTCATATAGATAACGGAAGAACATGAAATTAAGGGAAAACTAGTCTAAAAATATGATTCAGTTTCAAGGAATGTGATTGGGCTTAAATATTTATTTCATTTATTTCTTGGGAGAGACAATTATGGACCACCAGTCCACCACACACACACACACACACACATTAAGCTTCAAAAGCAGAAACATACTATTTATAATAGCAAAGAGCAAATCCTCATTCTGTACTCCAAGGTTTGCTCGGACATGCTCACGTAAAACTCTCTTGGCCACACTATTCTCAGCAACTTCCATAAGGTCCTTGCTGTTTCCAAGGTGCACGACAAATGTGTCTGGCATCTTTATACTGTAGAGTTAACATATTTTCACAGTTAGGTGCAGCTAAAAGCAGATCAAACTTGAACAAATCAAATCAAGAATTATAAGAGAGCAAAGAATTTTGTTGCGAAACTATTTTCCAATGTGTTCAAGCTATTTTACATAAACTCAATATGTCAGGATTTAAAGGATAGTCAACAAAAACTCAACCACATTCAGGTCGCGTATGATCAAGGTTTTGCCAAGAAAATGCCACTGCTTTACTAAGAAAACACCAACCAACATAAAGAGGCAAAAGAACGTGAAGAGAAGAATCTAGTCAAACACAATTCTTCCCATTTTTCTTTATATTTGAACTGATTTCTTCATGAGAATAGATTAAGAACAAGAACAATGCAAGGGGCCAGAATTGCGCGTATCACCAACAAAATAGTATAATGAATTTTATTTTTTTTTAAAAAAGTTCCTATGGCAGACAGGGTTGAGTTAACAAGTGACAAAAGATCAATACCCCAAACGTTCTTTAGTTCTGTTTTTCCAATATTCTGCCGTGGTGTGAGAATCAATCATAGCAGCTGCCACAAATGGTAGATGCTTCACATACTCCAAAGTGAAATAATGTCCTCGCATTTCATGAATCCACCACAATATCTTTGGAAGAACACGAGAAACATTATCCTTTAGCACAGCGTCCAGCCATTTCCCAGCAACAGCAGTATTTAATACAACTAGATCAGCTTTCAGAGCAGTATCAATAGTCTTTTGGCCCTTTGCATGGAGAATCTGGATAATAGAAATTAATTAGTGAAAAGAAAGAATAATAGGTACAGGCGGAAGCACTCCATTAAGCAGGTCATGGATAAGTCAGATCACCAGTGAAGTAAATATCTGAGGGCGGGTCAGGGAGGAAAAGGGGAGAGCTAAGGATGTCTGACCTGTACTCCTCTGTCCAGCATTTTATTTTCCAAACTGTATACAACCTCATCTGGTTCAGCTGGTTTTTGATAAGTAATCCACACGACTTCAGCACCAACACCTCTCAACAGAAATGCCAACTCCATCAGCAACAGTGGTCCACCTGAACACAAATGCGTCAAGTAGAAAGTTTTAGACTGAAATCAACAGCGAAATTAAAAAAACGTATGGAGACTAGAGGAGGGGCAGGTTAGAGATTCAGATAGCATAATTTGTTCCATATACCAAAGGAACATAAAAATAACTCATTCTATTGACTTCAATAGCTTGCAGGCAAACTATAGCGCTGGTAATTCAAGGCAACCTTTACAGTCTATATTAAGTGCTATGGTAATTGGATACAATAGCTGAGTCAGACACATAGATAAGTACCTTTGTCCAGTATAAATACTAGAGTGTAGGTAATAAAATTTTAAGTGAAGCCAGGAAAACTCTAAACATTGTTATAAAAACATGAGGATCAGGCAATCAGTCGTTCTATATTATTCTTAATCGAGATGTTACAAAGTTGATTATATTCCCAAGGTACTAAATGGAAAGCTAGGTGGCATAGATGTACTAGCATGCACCTGTTTGAGCTTAGCCGCTGGAAAATTCAAGATCTAATTCTATTTAGACTTCCAGCAATGTCCGAGATAGGTCTTTCAGAATGAATAAAACCTATGTGAGGAGAAATCTATATTGGATTTAGTTTCAAAGAAAGTGGAAGCCATCAGACAACTCAAGTATGCCCAAGTAAATTTTCATGCTCCAATCACCAGTGAGAACTAACGCTTAGATATAGATCTCTAATGTATGGCTTATGGACTCTCAAACTGCAAAACAATTAATTGTATTGGGTCAAGAATTATTTAAATCAAGGTGTCTAGTGGCAATCATTAGGCGATCCCACGGGATATTTTATCAATTTTCCCATTACTTAACAGAAATATATCATATACCCTATAAGCTGAACTTCTGCTCATGTCAAGAAATGTCATCAATAATCTTTTGAGAATCACTAGAGCTTGAAGGAAAAGAATAAAAAACTATAGTCTGTATATGTCATGAGTGACATGCCCATTAGACAAAGCTCTATAGACTTCTCTCCTCTTCGCATGAACGATTTCCAAATGAACCTGAAGGTCATCTCCATTTATGTAAATCAATGAACGGAAAATATGATTTGCATTTTTGTAATCCTTAAAGACATGTAATAGTAATGACTAATCTTACAGCATGTGGCCTTGACAGGACATCATACCAAGGTTGTACAAAAAAGATTCATGATAGTTTTGTTTTAGTGTTTCAAAAGTTATATCTGATTTGCCTAGCTCTTTTGGGTTGCTTCCCTTCCTTGTCAAATATTGGGGCCTCATGGACTCATGGTCAATAGCTAACACGCAGATGCGCCTCTCCCATGCCTGTTTTAGTTCATTTGTCAGTGGCTATGTCACTATATGGGAAGTCTTGCTCTAATTAGCTCGACCATAGTTGATGAGAGAGAGAGAGAGAGAGAGAGAGAGAACATGGGAAGTGAAAAACAAGGAAATTGCTCGTAAAAGGCGAAGTGCAATAAGGTGGGTGGACCAGTTTGGGTGTAAGAAAATGCTATTAAAGCAATAAGAAGATGCTTATAGTATGAGAAACTTTCTGAGAAAAGTATTTCTTTTAGGCCAAAGGTAATTGGTCATTAAAATGCTGTTATGGAAATAAAATCTTCATTCCCTTTTATTAAACCAAAAGCCCACAACTCCTTTGCCACCCCTTTTCTTTTCTCTCCTTCCTATTGTCCCCTTTCCCTCCACTATTGTTTTCCACACTGTAATGGTAATATTTACGAAACCAATTCTATCTTATTTCTCTTCACTCTTTATGACCCGCTTTAATACACCTAGTTAAGAAGATAAAGGATCTGACAAGAGCACACTAATAATCTGTTAAACTGGAAACAAATCCCTAAATTTTAATTACTTAATAGAGGATAACAAAGAAAAAAAAAGGACAACACTTTAATCCATCAATTGAAATTCGGATGTGGAATCAAAGGGTTCAACAGATTCAACTGTAGCTGAACTGAGTACAGAGCCACAATATGCAATAATCACCTAAATCTTTTTGACAAGCCATATTAACGCGTAAAAATACTGAAAGCCCAACAAGGCGTGTACCTCATTGAAGTGAGACACACTTTGAGGGTGTTTGGTGTGAATAATGGAAATGAAGTGGAAAGGAAACAAATACGAGGGAGGAAAGGAAACAATTAACACTCATCTTTTCATTAATTTAGTTAAATCATCGAAATAAATCACTTAAACCTCTCTCTTTATTTTTGTTTGAGGAAAACCATTACCCTTATGTAATGACCCAAGCCAGCCAACAAACACTTGGTAACGGTAATGGTTTAATTGAATCCGTTTCCAACCCCAAAAAAAAACTCTTCCCAAACATGTTCTTTATTTCCAATCGTAAATTCAATTCATTTACAAAAAGTCATACAACATCTACAAACGAAATCAAATTTAGAAGAGCTACATTATGCCATAATCAGCAAAATGTTTTATACTTGTACAAACAGTTTTTAAATCCTCATAAAAAGAAGCATTTTTTTTTCCTTTCCTTTTCCTTGGCAATTATATCCATCAAATATTTTATAAATTAAAGACTAATGAATCTAAATTATACCCTTCATTATTTTATTTTTGAATAATAATCTTCATTTCTTATTATTTCATCAATAACATCCATCATAAATTCCAACAAATACTTAAAAAAATGATAAAATGAGGGAATAATTAGAATACCAGAAAGCGAGAGTTGATGCGAAACCAAGAGAACGAGCTTAGACTTCATAAAGTAAAGCGGACTCGAACGCGGCGATAACGACGACGACGACGACGAAGAAGATGAATGAAGGATCTGCTCATCCTTACCTCCATACAACAATCGATCATCACAAGAAGGAGAAAAACTAGCTCGAAAAAGCAATACAATTAGGGTAGAAATCGAAAACAGAGCTAAGATCGTTAACAACCATGTCTTCTTCTTTAGAGATTGCAGATGAAACGATGAAGAAGATGAAATTGGTTTCGCCATTTTGGATGCTAATTGTTGATTTTCTCTGGTTGAATTTGTTAGCAGTAGAAGTGGGAGGATGAATGATTGATGGGATTGGATTGCGACATTTTCTAGGGTTTATGGTGATTGAAGAAAGGGTGGGGTGTGATTGATGATGAAATTTGGGGGAATTGGGAGGAGAGAGAAAGTGAGGAAGTAGGAAGTGTTGTCGTTGTTATTGTTAATCTAAATAATGAGAGTGGAAAATGGTGGAGTGGTGCAATGGTCGAAGTGCCGACACCTGAATATTGGAAGTTGGAAACAATTTCCTCGAGACAAGGAGGAGGAAGGTGGGCTGATATTAGGATTTTGAGGTAGGGGCCGTATTGGTATCAAAAATTGACTCGGTCGATTCAATTTGATTCGTAATGATATAATAATTTATCACGAGATTCATGACTCAACTTTGAAATAGACCTAACTCGACATCACCAAACTCGATCCAAGTTGGTAGTTATTAGTCAGGTGTTAATTCGGATTATCGGTTAGGGTTGGATTTAGATCAGACCTAATTTAATAGGGTTATTTTGGATTTTAATGGTGTATTCTTTAAATTATTATGCCCATGCACATCAATTGATTACATTTTGAATTAGATCGATATTACAAAGGAGAATAAATGCGTATTACAAAGTATATTATTAGGGAGGTTCTAACTAATCAAGAAATCCTTTTAGCTAGCCACTTTGTAAGATAAGTAAGAAATTTGATTTATCTCTTTATAAAAATATGGATAGTTAATGATGCGACTAAATACAAAAAGATCTAATGATGTTAATTTATTTTCGATAAATTTATGGTGTTTTAACAGTTATTCTAATTAATTGTGGTAAGTAGACACTTTTTAAAAGCAAAATTATAGCTTTTGCTATGAATTCTAATGAACTAATAGAAAGGCAAGGCTTGAGGAGAAAGGTTTTGATGAATATGCGTTCTCAATACAATCTTGAAGATGAAACCAACAATTGTCATTATAAACACAAGCTATTTCATACTCAATTATACGTAGTACTTCATTTAAAGTTGTTACTATATATGTAATATTTGCTAATTGGCAAATATAAGTTCTTCATTTCCCATTGATTATTCATTGCAAACTAATTAAAAAAAACGATCTTGATAACAAGCGCCCCGGGGCGTTAGATAAGTGTTTAGGGAATTTTTACCCTAGACGCGTGGACCAATGAGAGGTCGCCACGTGTCAAGGTCAGGATGGCCCATGTGGCTCAACATCCCCTTGACACTTGGCGACCTCAGATATGTTTCTGAATTGACGGCTTTCAAAAGGCCCAAACTCCTAGGAGCGTTGTAAAACGGCGCAGCCCACCAGAATCTAGGTCAAGTGACCTAGGTAGGGGCACATTTTCCAACGACCCTATAAATAGGGAGATATTTCCCCCATTTTGGGGGACACAATTGAATCATTTATTACACCCTTATTCTCTTACATCAGAGAAAGACCTGAGCTTGGAATCCGAGCAGATACCCACCTAAATTTTCATTCTCTCTATTACGTTTCAGGTTACTAACTTGTGCGTCGGAGGCGGAGCACCACCCAACCGGTGTCTCCGTTTATTTTGCAGGTACAGCTCACTGCGGATCAGTTTTCGTGTTGTAACTCTCCCGAGGGACCAAAACACCCAAAACATTTGGCGCCGTCTGTGGGGAGAGTACCTCGAAGATGGTTCAAGAGTCTGTACCACCCCCTAACCATCTGGGTGAAGACCCAGGAGTTTTTACAGACCATGAGGAGGATGAAGATCCTCAGGTCGAAGCTTTTACAGCCGGAGACGGCTCTCTCAGAACTAAGCGCATCCGGCCCAGAGACACTCTGGAGCGGGGTGCCTCCCAGGCAGGTCCAAGTAGAACCTCTGGGCAGCCAGAAGGGGAAACCCAAGCGGTCGCCGGATCAGCCCCTGTCACTCGAGACGAACTCATGAGATTCATGACAAGTTTCAAGGGTGAAATTACAGAACTGATCACCAAGAGCCGGGCTGGTCCAAGTAAAGGCCAGTCGGCGAAGAAGACTCCTCCAGAGAAGGGGAAGTCAGTCAGAAACCGGCAGCCCACTCCCCATCCAAAGGAGAAGGCAGCCGGGACCATTGATTGGTCAAAAATTCTCCTCCCTGGGAGGAACACCAACAACACTCGCCGGCCCCAACAGCCGGTGAGAAGCAAAAAATCAACTATTGATGCCCGGGAGATCATCAACCGGAAGAGAAATCAATCGCTGTCTGAGTCGGCTTCAACGTCGAAACTTTCCAGACAGCTTCAACAACATTTCTGCAGGGAGTGCACCTTCCTTGCATGAGAGTCAGACAGGCGGTAATACCGTCCATTCTGGCCCTCATATGATTGGAGTTGTCCCGTATGTGCCTACTCAGGCTTACGGGCAGTATCCTCCTCACTTCATGCAGCCGGCCTTCTTTGGGGTCAGGCGACATATCCAAATTTCCAGCCATTGGACTGGCAGCTTCGTCTGCTGCGCCTGGGGGAACAACCTTCTACGTTCACTCGGGAGATAACCGAGGTGGCTCAGCCGGCCAAGGTTAAGAATGTGTTGGTGGGTGCCTATGATGGTACCTCCAATCCGGAAGATCACCTCATGGCTTACACCAACCTCATGTATCTACAGGGGTTGGATGATGCCACTTGGTGTCGATGCTTCCCGGCTACATTGAAGGGCATTTCCCAACAATGGTTTGGCAATCTGCCAGCCGGGTCCATAGATAGCTTCAGGAAGCTTGCCTTCCTGTTTGCTTCCAACTTCTCAATGAACATCCCTGCTAAGAAAACAAGCCTTGATTTGAGCACTGTTAAGCAGGGAGAGAAAGAAGGGCTGCGCTCATATGTCAGGCGGTTCAACTTGATCAGAATTCAGATTCAGGGGCTGTCTGATGAGGTAGCTTTTACAGACTTTTTTAAAGGTCTGAGAGACGGGCCGACCTTTAAGTTCGACCTAGTCAGAAAAGGGGCTTTCACCCTACAGGCGGCCCTGAGGGAGGCGGAAAGCTATATTCAAGCTACCGACCTCTGCTCGCCTGGTAGCCAGTCGGACTCTAAGAAGTCTGACAAGCAGAAAGACAACCAGCTTGCTCAGCCGGCAAAAAAGAAAGAAGAGAGCAAGAAGAGAAAAGAAGTCTGGGCGGTTAGTGACTCTGACCAGCCGTCCCAGAAGAAGAAGAAAGAATTTAAACCGTACGTCCCCAAGTACGAGTTTAACAAGGACTGCAACTCCATCCTCATGGAGATAAAGGACCGGCTGTCCCTTGAGAAGCCGAATCCAATGAAAAGTTCCGTTCAATATAGGAACAAAAATAAATTTTGTCAATACCATGAGGAAGTTGGCCATGACACCAACGACTGCTTCAGCCTACAACGGACGTTGGACCGTCTGGCTGACAAGGGGATGCTGAAGTCCTATATTTCTAAGTCCCCAGCCGGGGCAAAAAAGAAAAACAAAGGTCAGTCCTCCAAGACTACCCCCAGCCTGCTAGTAGTTCGGATACCGACAAGGAGTCGGTCTACACTATAGCAGGCGGGTTTTCATGTGGTGGCCCTACCATCAGGGGCACCAAGAGCCATCTTCGAAAGATGGAAAAAGATGATGATGAGCAGGCAGAAGCCAGATCCTCCTTCCCAGACGTCTTGATCACTGAGAAGGACAGGGGCAGCGTCCGCCGCCCGCATGATGACCCGGTGGTCATTGAATGTAAGGTTCCCAACCAGCTGGTTGGACGAATCCTTATTGACACCGACAGTTCATTTGACATCATCAGCCTCCGGTGCCTGCAGAAGCTGAAATACAATATCAACAGCATGCATCCGGTCACCCACCCCTTGGTTGGTTTTGGGGGTGGGATGGTCTACCCAGCCGGAAGAATCGACTTACCCATCCGGCTGGGAGAGAAGGGCCAAGGGCGACATATTGTCGTCAGGTTCTTGGTCGTTGAGGAGTTGACCGCCTATAACATTATCCTTGGCAGGCCAACCCTCAACGTAGCCAAGGCGGTAATCATTCCATCTCTCATGCTCATCAAGTATGAGAAGGATGATGGCACTGTTGGTTCCCTGAATAGGGATCAGAAGACGGCTCGGGAGTGCTACCTCTCAGCCGTCAGGGACACTGTAACCCCAGGTGTCCAGGAACCAATAGACCTTGACAATGTCAGATCCAACACCCGCCCCACCAGCAGCCGGTAAGAAAAGAAAGGCACCTCTGTTGGTGGAGGTGAAGAAGGAGAAAAAATAGCAATCACTGACCGGTGAGCGGTCAGATGAGCTCCGTCCCCAACCGGCTGGCGAAAGCATTGATCTCGTTCTGGATGACAGCCGTCCAGAACGTACTGTTAAGGTTGGGACGGTTGCTCATGCTACTTTGGGTGCAAACTTGCACAACCTGCTGAAGGAATTCAAAGACATCTTTGCCTTTGAAGTGGAAGAGATGTCAGGCGTCAGCCCGGATCTCGCTGTCCACAAACTCGCCGTGGACCCCAAAAAGAAGCCCATCCGGCAAAAAAAAAGAAACCACGGCGAGGAAAGAAGTCAGGCGGCAGCTGCCGAAGTCAAAAAGCTGCTAGACGCCAGGTTCATTCGGCCTTGTAATTTTCCCGACTGGGTGGCCAATGTGGTCCTTGTTAAGAAACCAAATGGGACCTGGCGCATGTGTGTTGATTACACAGACCTCAACAGGGCGTGTCCAAAGGACAGTTATCCGCTTCCAAAGATCGATAGTCTGGTCGACTCTACAGCCGGTCACGCCTTGATGAGTTTTATGGATGCCTACTCCGGCTTCCATCAGATACCCCTGTGGAAGAAAGATCAAGAAAAGACGGCCTTCGTCACTGATCAGGGGCTATTCTGTTAAACGGTGATGCCGTTTGGCTTGAAAAATGCGCCGGCTACATTCCAACGGATGATTAACACTGTCTTTGTTAATCAAATTGGGAGGAATGTAGAGGCATACATTGATGACATGATAGTCAAATCTAAACAGCAGACGGATTACCTTGCTGATCTCCGAGAAACCTTCACCACACTCAGGAGGCATAAGGTCATGTTAAATCCTAAGAAATGCGTCTTTGGTGTTGAGTCTGGGAAGTTTCTCGGATTCCTGATTGATCAAAGGAGGATAGAGGCTAACCTTGAGAAGATACAGGTAGGGGTGAAAGTTCGGTATTCGGTTTGGATTATACCCCAAACCGAATCCAAACCGAATTATTTCGGTTTTGGATTTTTGAAACCGAATCCAAACCGAATTTGGATTCAATCCAATCCAATCCAAACCGAAATAATTCGGTTTTGGATATTGAATCCAAACCGAACCGAA